ACCCTCAACGAGGGTGAATAACCCTCCAAGAGTGTTAAATGTCCCATGTGAGGGTGAATTGCCCCATTATAAGTTAGAAAGTATATAAAGGGGAGGATTCTGATAGATAGAAAGGGCAGTTTTTGGTTTATTTGTTTGTTGATAAGCAAATATGTATTTAATACCCTTTCCTTGCATTGAATGTATTAAAAAGAAACGTTAATAAAGAGAAACCTTCTACCCAATAATAAAAACATCGTTAGACTATCTTGTTTTGTTTAAAAGTCACTTGAAACTTGTCATCGCCATCTCGAAATCACATGTACTCGATCATCTTTTGACATTCAAATTTGAAACTGTAGAATCTTGAGCTAACCTATACTTTGATCCTAAGTCAACATATACCTTGTTCATGATCGAAGCTAAATTGGTTCAAGATAGTTTATAGCTCTCCCCAGATTGTAACATTTGGTGCCGATTGTGTGGACCTGAACATTATAACCAGAAAAAATTCGAAGTTGAATGTTAATTTTGGGATTGAATATCAATATATAAAAAGAAGAAAAAAAATCGGAATTGAAGAAGCTTATTTAATATGGATTCTTATTTGGATGCAGATAATAATAATGATGAGAATACGGTCCAGAGAATCAGGATAACGACTTTGAACAACAGATTCAACAATTGTTGCAATTAATGGGTGGAATTATGCCCCAAGTACAACAAAATAATCAAATTCGGAAAATGAATACAGTAAGCATTCCTTCCTTTGCGGGAGCCAACCAAGACTCTGTGGAATGGCTTGAAATGGTGAGCTGTGCCTTTGAAGCTAATAATATTCAAGGAAATCGTCGGATAGCAGTTATTGGTGCGTATCTTACGGGAATGGCAGCTATGTGGTGGGAAACTAGACGCAATACTAGGCCCCACATTGATTGTTGGGAGGATAATTTTCATTCAGACGTTAGTTTTGTTCATCAGTTCCGTCAGAACTTTTGTACACAAATGCTTGTGAGTCAATGGAACACCGAATTACTTACTAGACGTCAAAGAATAGGGGAAACCATTGATCAGTATGCAGCAAATATGGCGGCTTTGTTTAGATGAGTAACGGTAGGAGGAAACCAATATCCAGAATCTATGAAGGCACAAATCTTCGTACAAGGTCTATGACCCGATTTAGCATTAGCTGTGGGACTCTTTATGCCCAGAACCCTACAAGCAGCAATAGAAAGAGCCAAAGTTAGTGAATTAACTCTTTCAAGAAATTTGATAACTTATAATTCGACCCCTTTCATAAATCCCGTAGCCTCCTATCTTTAGCAACCCGCAAGTGGAATAATTCAATTGCCTACATCCAACTCGATCGAAGATCCTATGAAGAAATTAACTATATTAATGGAAGAGTTAATAGTTTCAATGAGAAATAATAATAATAATAATAGACCTAGGGATGCCTACAATACAAATAGGAATAATTTTCGAGGAAATCGGCCATCAATCACGTGCTATAACTGTCAACGACCAGGTCATGTTTCATACAAATGTCCAAATCGAACCAATAATAATCCTGCGCAACAAATAAATGAAGCTGAAAGACGAAGGCCTGAAGAAAGGGAGGGAAATCGACCAACAGTAGATGTGAACTGAACCCAAGCTATGTTGGCACAATTGTTAAATGATGAAGAACATTTAAACTAGAGAACGCACCTCTAGGGGGTAAGAGTGCGTCTACTATTATAAATCCCTCTAATGACTTAGTATTTGAGGCTTACATGGCAAAAAGAAGACGTAAGAACGATGGAAAAGCAGAAAAGATAATAACACCGGAAAAAAATAAAGAAAAGGGTATAGATCATGTGGATCGAATAAGGAAGTTTCCCAAGAAAAGGAGAACGAAGCCTGTCGAACCTTTAATAACGTCGAATATTCAGCCCTACTCTATAATGACTGATCTACAAAATAAGAAAGCAGACATTACTTATGCTCAGTTATTTCAATTGGCTCCTAATATCAAAAGAGAACTTGTTAAAATTACTCAGGCCGGAAGAATTGTTACGTCGAAGGTAGCCGAACTTCGCTTAGAACAAGATGAAAATTCAAAGACCACTTTAATGTATTGTGAAGCCCAAGTTAAAGGCCTCCAATTCTTTTAATTTTAGACAGTGGCTCATCGGATTGCGTTGTCTCAGCAAATTTTCTGAAAGAAGTTGGCATAGTAATTGATCGACCCTCACCTGTGATAATGATCAGTGTACACGGAAAACAAAAATACCCCTTAGGAGAAATTGATGAATTTTCTATAATCGTTGGAGGAAAAACAATTACATCACATGCAGTAGTATCAGAAGCTAGGAACTACGCAGTAATTGTTGGGAACGATTGGCTAAAAAAGGCAAGGGCTAGATTAGATTAGGAGAAATGTGAGTTGTTAATTCGTGACAGAAAAGAGAAAATTAAAATACCAACCGAATATTGTAAGCCTGCGAATATATCAGAATGGATTCAGAGGAAAGGTAAATCTAAGCAAGAGAAAGAAGAAACCGAAGAGGATGATTATGCATCAGATGAAGAATCGGAGTCAGAAAGCAGTGAAGATGAAGAAGAATATGAAGTGGAAAATTTTTTTTTTTTTTTTTTTTTTTTTTTTTTTTGTTTTGCAAATGCCATAGTTGAAACTTTATTTAATAAAATAGAATAAA